CAAGGTCCTCCACAGCGTTGCCCAGAAGAAAGCCCAGGACAAGCACTCCGACGTCAGTCTCAAACTCCATCACCTGGAGGTACTGATCCGACTCCAAAATCGACACATAACCAACATGGAGAAACTCCTGACGATGATCATCGATACTATAACAATCCACCGCCAGGTATCACCGCGGAGGATGTCTGGCCAGTCCTTCGAAGACGAAATAAAACTCCAAGACTTCCGAGAGGCGCGGAATGATCCAGAAGTGTTTCTAAGATTCGTTTCAGAGACGATCGATGAAATAGATCGCGGAGAGAAGCAGGCTGCATTTAAACCAGAGACTGATTTAAAATTGTACAATCTTCCCATGCCGCTGAAGGTAAGCCCCGTCAGTGACCAATTTCAGAAAAGCTTGAGTTCAGCGAATAGACCAGAAAGTGCAGGAGCTCAGATTGAGAAATCCGAGTCCCATTGCCAGGTCGCGGAATGTACCACAGAGAATAGGATTGAAGATCACATGCAAGCAAGTTTAGCGGATACGATAAAAATAGCCGAGGAAAGAAATGACACGGGAGAGAACCCTTGTGAAGATGAGGCAATGACACAAAGCACAAGACCTGACGTCAGTGGGAGCAAGAAAGAGAGTATGACAAAACTGCAGGGGATCGAAACACATTCTGACGTCCCTGCTGGCGAGGTTGCAGAAAAACCAGACGTCACGTTATATATAGAAGCGGAATCGAGTAAAACAAAGTGATTTTACACCCGTGGCAATATACAGAGACGAGATGAAAAGCGGTGATGTAAAAAGTACAGAAAATATCAAATATTCTTGAACAAAAGAACATTTATTGTTTGATGATTGTTTATAAAAAGCGAAAGGAGACATTTGTAATTCATATCTTAAGAGTCAAACAGAAAATATCTACATGAAAATGCATTACATTACTTTTGAGGAATGTTATTAAAGAAAGAGATATTCGTTAAATTTCATTAAAAGACCTTACAACCTTCAACATGCGAAGATAAAACGCACAAATAAAAGATAGAGAGACAAAGAGAAGGAGTTTTACGATTAAATAAACAAAGGAAAAGAAAAAAGAAAATGAAGGACATAAAAGAAGATGTAAATAAAAATGGATCCTTTCATTTTCTTTTTTTTATTGGTGTTCTTGATAATGTTTCATGATATTATCTACTGTCATGCTGCTGCTCCAGCTATCATTATCTGTATCATTATTTTTTTTTTGTTAATACCATTATGATTATTAGTATTGTTATTATCATCATCTTTGGTACTTTCATTACTATTATCATTATGATTGTCATTGTTATGATTTTATTATTATTATTATTATTATTATTATTGTTGTATTATATTATTATATTATTAATTTTATTATTACTATTGTTATTAATTATTTTATTATTATATTATTATTATATATATATTATTATTATCATTATTATTATTTATTATATTATCATCATTATCATTATTATTGTTATCTTATTTTATTATTGTTATTGTTATCGTCATCATCGTCGTCCATCATCATCAGTCATCATCCATCATCATCATCATCATCATCATCATCATCATCATCATCATCATCATCATCATCATCATCATCATCATCATCATCATCATCATCATCATCATCGATTGATTGATTATGATAATAAATCATCACCGTAATTATATATTCATAGTATTTATTATATTCAGCATTCATTATATGGTTAAACATTGAGATTTATATGTATTTTAAAGGAATGTTTATTTACACAAGTCCCCCCTGAAATGCGGAGTCAGGGTGCGTTTTCTCTTTTGGAGGATCTTTTTTAATGTAAATTCACAATTCAGTAATAATCATGAAGAGAGGGAGAGGGAGAGAGAGAGAGAGAGAGAGAGAGAGAGAGCGAGAGAGAGAGAGAGAGAGAGAGAGAGAGAGAGAGAGAGAGAGAGAGAGAGAGAGAGAGAGAGAGAGAGCGAGAGTGATAGAGAGAGAGAGTAGATATATGTATACAATATATGTATTATTATGTATTATTATTATTATCATTATTAATATTATTATTACCATCATCACTGTCACTATTATTATTGTTATCATTATTATTACTATTATTATTGTTGTTGTCATTTTTATCATTATCATTACTATTATTATTATCATCATCATCGCTGTTACTGTTATTATCAATGTCATCATTCTTATTATGGTAATGACTTTCATTATAATTGATAATATTGGTATTACTGTATTTATTTTCATTATCATTATCATGAATATTGTTTTTGTAATTATCAATGTTATAAGTATAATTACTATCACTATCAACATAATCACTTTTATTATCATTATTATTTTTGTTATCATTATTATTATTATTATTACTATTATTATTATCATCACCATAATTATTATTATTAACATTATTGTCATTATTACTACCACCATTATTATTATCATCACCATCATCATATTATCATCATCATCATTATCATTGT